CTCTACCACCAAGCCGCATTCCCTGTCCTTGTTTTTATTTTTATTTTTTGCCAGTACTGGGGCTTGAACTCAAGGCCTAGACATTGTCCTTGAGCTTCTTTTGCTCAAAGCTAGCACTCTACCACTTAAGCCACAGTGCCACTTCTGGCTTTTTTCTGTGTATGTGGTACTGAGGAATCGAATCCAGTGCTTCATGCTTGCTAGGCAACACTAAGCCACATTCCCAGCCTGTTTTTAATTTTTAAAAGTATCCTTTAAGTAGTTGGACAGAGGTTTCAATCAACATACCAGTTTATGAGTACAGTACATCTTGATCAATGTCACCCATTCCAGTGTTCTCCCCTAAACATATTTTGAAATTAAATAGGCTACTGGACATTTAATGAAAAATATCAGGTTCAATCCCCCTATTGCCTGTTCCTAGTCCACACTTATTTTTATAGCTCTTTTAGCTGGTTCGTTCTTTCTCCTTCCTTCTTTCCTTCCTCCCTCCCTCCCTCCCTCCCTCCCTCCCTCCCTCCCTTCCTTCCTTCCTTCCTTGTCCTGGGGCCTGAACTCAGGGCCTGGGCACTGTCCCTGACCTCTTCAGCTCAAGGCTAGCTCTCTACCACTTTAGCCAGTGCCACTTCCGACTTTTTCTGCTTATGTGGTGCTGAGGAATCAAACCCAGGGCCTCGTGCATTCAAGGCAAGCACTCTACCACTGAGCCACCTTCCCAGCCCTTAAGCTAGTTCTTTAATATTTAATATTCCTAAATGATATTCTCTTAATAGATATTTTTTCTAGTTCTGGCCACATTTAATTATCTTTCTGTCTTTGAAGACAAGCATTAAACTCTGAATGTTCATGCCCTAAAATATATATTCTTCTCCTCCATCCATACTTGTATCAGCATTTTAAAAATGCATGCCTGTATAACTATTCTCACATGTACTTGCTTGCATTTCCTTTCATGTATAAGTTTTCTCATAATGAGTATTCCTCTTTTTCAATTTACCTTGTTTTCCTTGCTCTCTATGTCCCAACGCTGTGGCAAAAATAAAGTCCTTTCAATATGTTCAAACATTCTAAAGTATTTTATCGGGTTAATTTTTTTCTAGTTATACCTGTATGGAGCTCTACCACCTCCTTTGTTAATATGCCAGAGAATGATTTAAAAATTTTTTTTTTTATTTTGGTCAGTCATGGGGCTTGAACCCTGGGCTGGGCACTGTTCCTCAGTTTTTCAGCTCAAGGCAAGTGCTCTACCACTTGAACCGCAATACCACTTCCAGTTTTCTGTTGGTTTATTGGAGATAAGAGTCTACAGACATTCCTGCCCGGGCTGGCTTTGAACCATGAGCCTCAGATCTCAGCTTTCTGAATAGCTAAGATTACCGGCGTGAGCCACTGGCACCTGGCTCTTTTTTGCTTCTCTCATAGGTCCCTTCCTCTCTTGGTTGGATCATTATTACCTTAATTTTGATTTATTTCCTTATTCTTTCTCTGTTCCTTCCTGCAGACAATATGTGATAGAAAATATTGCTAAGTATTTTGCATATTTTTAATGTATTTAGTTTACTTTTACCTTTGATTGGTAGTTTGACTGGACATAAAATTATTTGTTATAAGCAAGATACAGACTTTGGCCAAGTATGTTGATATACTCAAGAGGCTGGAGCAAAAGGATTGAGGGTTTGAGTCCAGGTCTGGGCTCAAATACAGTAGCAATACAATGCAATAGCAAATTCTAGGCCAACCTGATACTGCCACAAATTAACCATCCAACTCACCCACCCACCCATACCAGAATTGCTTCATAATTTTCCAGCTTCTGATGTTAAGATATTTCTGGCATGTCAATAGAATGTCATTCTGTTGTAAATCATATATAACTCATTTTCCATGAAAAATTTTAGGATCACCTCTTTGTCATCAGTGTTCTAAATTTTTGCAAAGATGTGCGTTAACTGTTTTTTTTTTTTTTTTTTTTTCCTCATTGGCTAGCACTTTCAATCAGGACCAGTGAACAGAGTGCCTATTTGTGGCTTCAACATGTTGTTTGGGTTTTTGACAGTATGCTTGTTGGTTCTAAGAGAGAACCTCCATTTCTTCGTGTATTTCAAGAGGCACCAAACAGAAATAGCCTGACTAGTTAAGGGCTAAGAACTGACCTAGTTCAATGATGTCACATTCTTTTGGTTTTGGTTTTGGTTTTGATTGGTGGTGGGGCTTGAACTCTGGGCCTGGGTGTTGTCCCTGCGCTCCTCAGCTCAAGGCGAGTGCTCTACCACTTGAGCCACACCACCACTTCTAGTTTTCTAGTGGTTTATTGGAGATAAGAGTCTCATGGATTTTCCTGCCCGGGCTGGCTTTGAACTGTGATCCTCAGATCTCAGCTTCCTGAGTTGCTAGGATAACAGGCATGAGCCACCGGTGCCCAGCTGATGTCACATTCTTTTGATCAGAATCATCTCAAGGTTTGTACAGATTGAAGTACATGGATAAATCAACTGTATTCCATGCTAAAGGACTGTCAATGTCATACTATTGGCAAAGAGTACTAGGAGCTGTTGTAGTCATCTTTGAAAAATAGAATTTGAATTTGTGAGTTTCTAATTTTAAAAATGATTATAAGCTGGGTGCAGGTAGTTGACACCTATAATCCTAGCTACTTAGAGTGAAACTTGAAGATAATAGTTTGAGGCCAGCCCAGACAAGTCTGAGAGACTCTTATATGTGGTGCTTTAGTATCAGTACACTTGGCTATCAGTATACTTAGATAGAAAAAGCCAACAACCTTTTTTTATAATTAGTGTTCACAAATCTCAAAGCTACCCAGCAATTAAACTACCTTTCCCCTGTCAATTTAACTTACTGTTATCAGAGGGGGGAAACCATATTACATCTTTTCCTCAATTCTCAAACCTCAGAACACCCTTTCCCACTCCATTCACTTGATGATGTTGATCTTGTTTTTTATTCTCTGAGAATGAAGCAGAGGAAAAAATTTAGTCCTTTCATCAAATCTTAGAACTCTGTGCCACTGCTCACATTCTATGACTTTCCCGTCCTGTGATAGTACAGTATCCATGAGTTCAAGCAACTTAAATAATCTAGAGATTTATAAAGTATATAGGAGGATATAGGTAGGTTATATGCAAATGTGATGCCTTTTTATATAAATTGTAGCACATGCTAGAGTTTTGATATCTGTGAGGATGCTGGAGCAAGTCCTGTTCAAATAAGAAAAGAACAATTGTATCTCTAAGCCAAACCCTCTCCTTTTGTCCTAGGAGCTATCTCCTCCTTTCTACTGAAGAATTTAACCCTCGGATCATCAATTTTTCTCTCTTACTTGGTCATTTACTTCATCAGACAAATAAATAGTCTGAATTTAGCTTCATTAAAAAAGAATCCTCCCTTAAACACACAACCCCATTTTACTACCCCCTTCTCAGCTTCCAGTTAACAGCTAATTCTTAAGAGTTATATGGGATCTTCTTTGTCTACTTCCTTCTCTCACATTCTCTCTCGAACTCCAACTATTTTATCAAAAGTATTTTTGTAGAGTCATTGATGGCTGTTACGATACCAACTTTCCTGGGCAGTTATCATTCTCTATTTAACCTGCATTTGACAAAATCCTTCTTAAATTCTAATTTTCATTTGGCTTTCAGGACATATTTCCCTACTACTTTTCTTCTTACCTCACTGCTTACTCTTTCTTAGTTTCCTCTACTTAGATACTCCTTACTTTCCTGACCTCTAAGTGTTGGAACCTAAGTCAGACTTACCACATTCAAAGTTGAACCTATTTTTCCTTTTTCAGACATGTTTCCCAGGCCATAAAAATGATCCTTGAATCCATTCCTAATCTGCATCTAATCTGTCAGTAGATTCTGGTACCTCTATGTACAGAAACTCTGAGCCCCTAAACTGAACATGGTGGTGTACACCTGTCATCCAAGCATTCAGGAGACTGAGTGAGGAAGATTGCAAGTTTGAGGGTAGCCCTTAGTTACATGAGAACCCATCCTGCTTAGAAAAAAACAACCCTCTATTACCACCATCATTAGATCATTTTAGTAACTACTACATACGAGTTTTACTTATCCTGTAGTGCATATTTATCTGTCTTCAAAAATAATCATTGGTTGGTTATTGACCAAGATTTTTCCAAGAATTTTAATTATACAAAATTATACTTCTAACAGAAACAAAATCCTAGATATTCAAAAGTCAAGATTTTGCTTATGAGCAAATAGACTTTGGTTTAGCAATCTCTTCTGAAGCATCTGCTCTCAGGGCACTTAGATTTTTACTTGTAAGGTAATAACCACTATAATGTCTGTAATTATGTTCAGTATGATGTTTCTACTTAAGTCTCGTAAAGGTGATACTTTTTATTAAACTGAGAAGACTAGAAATCTCTGGCTCTAGGGACACAGACTGTTTAGAAAGGCTAATTAAAAAGCTAGAATGAGGCCTAGAAACCAAGAAATTAGTCTTACTCCAGAGACTGGCTTTATTTTGAAACCTCAGTACTTCAAAATAGGGCAGATGATTCTCCCTCCCCCTCTTTCAACTTGGTTGCCGGGTGGTTGAAGTCTTTGCTCTTGAGTGCATTGTAGCTTCTGCTAGAGAAAACACTTTTGTCTCCTGTGTAAGTTATCATTCTGATTAAGCTTAGTAACTTTGATTTACTGTGAAATGAGAGGCAGCGATCATACTTTTGCATGATGCAGATCCATTCTGTTAATTTGTTAGATGTCATGATATACAAATTTTAGATAGTAGGAACTGAAGAGTTTTAAGACTTTCTGTGGCTAAAGATGTTATAGATGTATTCTTGTGCTTAATTTTCCATAGACTAAGATTTTTAACTTAGCTCCTCTTTACATTGCCTTTATGGTTCAGGAAATGAACACTTTTCATAGTTTAACTATTTTTCTTTCTCTTTTCATTCTCTTTCCATATCCCTTATTATATTTCACTCAACAACAAAAATGCCCTTTCAGAAACACAAAGTAGATCTTTTCTACAAGCTACGTCATGTGATGAATGAACTTATTGACCTTCGAAGGCAGCTACTGTCTGGTCATTTGACTCAGGATCAGGTGCGGGAGGTTAAACGGCACATCACGGTGCGCCTGGACTGGGGTAATGAGTAAGTATAAATATTACTTGGGCATCTCTCAGTTTTACTTATGATAATGCAGTCCTCAGGGAATTTAAACTTGATCACTGCTTTGCTTTAATGATTAATAGGTAATGGTAGATTCTCCACTAAGGGTTTTATTTTTTTAGTTTGCTCTAGGTATAGAGGTTGGTTCTAGTTAGCAAAGGACATTCCTGTTTCTAGTCATAAACTATCTCAACTTGTTTTCACTTCTAGAAAAAAGAATTAATGAATTGGGGCTGGGTGCTACAATCCTAGCTATTCAGGACACTGAGATCCTAAGGACTGAGATTCAAAGCCAATTGGAGCAGAAAACTTTTTACTAAACTCTAGCTCCAATTAACCAGCAAAAAAGCTGGATGGGAGGCATGGCTTCAGTGGTAACATACCAGCTTTGAGCAGAAAAAGCCAAGGTGCAAACCCAGTACAAGGCTCTGGGCATAGAGGAAATGACCTATCCCCAGAGAGTAGAAATTTGTAAAGAACTTTAAAAAATTAAACAGAATCCTCAAATATCCACAAAGAGAATCAATCTAGAACGGTCCACTTTGAGAATAAGATTCTAAGATAAAGAAAGAATATGACTTCCAAAATGAAGCATTCAGAATAAGAAGATAAATTTTATGTAATCAGATGCAAATAAAACAAAAACATGAGAAATAATTGAGCAAATGTAACATAAAGGTTGACAAAGCAAGATTCTGCATCAAATATTGTAACTTCCATTATAAAGAACAAAGTCAATAAAGAGAAAAAAAAAATCTCACCCCCCCTACCCCTCTTCCCATCCTGAGGCTTGAAGTTGGCCTGAGCTGCTCTGTCCCTGTGCTGCTTTTGCTCAAAGCGAGCGCTCTTTAGCCACAGTGCTATCTCTGGCTTTTCCTGAATAGTTTATTGGAGATAAGAGTATTCATGGACTTCCCCACCCAGGAACTGCAATCCTCAGATCTAAGCCTCCTGAGTAACTAGAATTAGAGGCATGAGCCACTAGTCCCTGGCTAAAGAGAAAATTTTGTAAAAATAAGGAGAATTTCCCAGAACCAGAAAATATAGGAGCAAAAGAGCCCAGCATACATTTACTTTAATGAATGGAGGAAGAAACAAAACCAAAACTTCCACAAAGAGGCACATTAACATATTCTGGGGATGAATCTTTAAGGATGGCTCCTTTCTATTTTTTTTTTTTTTTTTGGGTCCGGTTGTGGGGCCTGAACTCTGGGCCTGGGCGCTGTCCTTCAGCTCTAGGCTAGCGCTCTACCACTTGAGCCACAGCGCCACTTCCGGCTTTTTTCTTTTTGCTTATGTGGTGCTGAGGAATTGAACCCAGGGCCTCATGCATGCAAGGCAAGTGCTTTACCACTGAGCCAACTTCCCAACCCGCTCCTTTCTATTTTTATAGGGACTTGAGGTTCTCTTGAAAAGTGGAAGACTGTTTCAGGAAAAAGGAAAGAAACATGGGCTATTACAAGTCTGAATGGATCTGGTCCATAGTCATTAGTAGAAATCAGAAAAAAATGCAACCCTAAATTTTTAATTTGTAAACTTTTTGACTAAAAGCTTCTAATCCTTGCTATTTTTGTTTAATTATATCCTTTCTTGATTCTGAACAGATTTGCTTGGTATAGGCTACAGCGTACTTGTATACTAATGAGTTTGAGTAGTAAAAATTACTACTGATTCTGCTTTCTTCTTAGCCCCAAACACTACTGTGTTATAGCAAAAGGCTGAATATTTCCCCACTTATGAGTGACTTATCACCATTGAGTTATTCCAATAATTCAAGAATAAATATTTATTAGAGCCTACAACATGTACTGGGATCATTCTAGGCTTAGAAAAATAGCTGTGAGGGGCACTCGCCTTGAGCTGAAAAGCTGAGGAACAGCACCCAGGCCCAGAGTTCAGGCCCCACGACCAACCAAAAAAATAAATAAGTGGGAAACTCCAAACCCCAGTACTGCAAAAAAAAAAGAGAAGAAAAAAAAAGTTGTGACTAAGGATTGATTCAAAATTCTTTCTGATGAAGCCCTCTAAGGTTTTGAATCTCTATATGAAATTCTTTAAATTTTTTGCTTCATTATAATGGTCTAATTTTATTCTATTTTCTATGTTTTTCTCATGGGCTTCATCATCTGAATCACAGGTATAGTGATCACAGAAAATAGTTTTAATTTAGTTAATGACAAAATAACTAACCTGTTAATTAAATATATTCACATAGTGGCTACCAAGGAAAGGTATTGTGCTAAGTCCTAGGTATAGAGATCATAGACAAGAAAAAGAAGAGGGGGAAAGGAAAAGAGAGGGAAAGAGGGAAGGAAAGTGGGAAGGAAGAAAAGGAGAGAGAGAGATTTGACAGCAAAATTTTAAGGATTTTGACCAAGGACTGGTGAGTACAATATCAGATAGTGAGAGAACTCTGATAAATAACTGGAAATTGATACAAATTTCAAATATCATGAAAGGGAAAATGCTGAGCCATAAACCTTTCTGCCACTACCTATAAAGTTACATGGAGAAAACTTGTTGGGAAAGACTTCCTGCAGATTACAAACTAAACTTGGATTGCTTAGTTTCAACAACAATTACCTTAATGAGAGACATAATTGAAAAGAAAGTGGTAACATGGATGAGTTGTTATAAATGAAAATCCGAGAAAGGAAGAAGGAAAGGAAGGAGAAAAATTATAGAGGGGGGAGTAAGGGAAAGGAAAGACAAAATGCAAGGCATGGTGGTTCATAACTACACCATCAGCAGTTCCAAGCCTGAAGCAGGAAGCATTATCACTTTGAGGCAAGCCTGGACCACACAGTGAATTCAAACTTGAAGCTATATTTTAGCTAATGATATAACACATAATAGTAGTGATTGTAATAGCAGCAGCAGTCACACAGTACTGAGTGCTTTACATGGATTAATGCTGAGAATAGCATTACAGTAGATCTGACAGTGAGACTTGGTGGAAGAGGCAGCAAAGCAATCTGACATCAGGGCCATGCTCCTGATGACTCTTCTGCATTACCTTCCTTTATTGTGACAAAAGGGAAGAGACCACGTTGACCATTCCCTGCATGTACCAGTCTCTGTTCTTCAAGTTACCCATGGGGAAAAAATAGACAGAGCCACTTTTCCAGGGTGAAATTTGTAGTGAATATTACATTGCTTTTTTCTGTGTACTCTCTCTCTCTCTGCCTCCTCCCAATAAGGATAGTCACCAGTTTAACTTTTACCATTCTTCATTAAAAATAGTCTGATTGAAGATAGTACATGTAATTTAGTTTTAGTTTTTGCCATATCATCCATTATCATTTCTGATTTCCAAAGATAATGAAAGGTACTGTGTTCAAGCTACTTACCTGAACAAGGAAAGTGCTCTATTAACAGGAGATAAATCATGATGAATAAGAGCATGTGCTTGACTTAAAAGCAGTATATTCCCAGTATCCAACACTATTGGTTTGGTACATTATAAGACCTCAGAGACTATTTGTGGGATGTGTGGATGGGCAGTTGACTGGACAAGCAAGTTAAGGGTGTCACAATGCTAAGGTGAGAGTTTGCATAGATTCCAGACAGGCCCATCATCATGTGTCTTAACAGCATATACACTCACTTCTAGCCCTACCAACTAGATGCCATGTGAAGCTTTCTCCAGTTGTTGTATCTAAAATGGCTCTTTTGATTGTATTATATATTCAATCCCCTTTTGTGTATGGGTCCTAATAATAAGGTTATTCTATATTTGTAAGTTCTGTGCCTGTGGTTTCTGCATGTAGGGATTCAACCAATTATGGATGTAAAGCGTCTTTTTTAAGTTGCCACTGTTTTTTTCCCCCCCTAGACCATGTAGTATTACATCTGTTTACATAGCATTTACATTGTATTAGGTATTACAAATAATATACAGATGGTGAAAAGAACAAAGATTATGTAGATTATATACAAATACAATGCAATTTCATGTAAGGGACTTGAGCTTCCTTGGATTGAAAGTGAGTGTGAGTGTGAGTGTGTGTGTGTGTGAGTTAGATCCTAGTTGTCAGGGGACAACTATACATTTTTGGACCTCTAATGAAGAAAGAATATGTATGAAATACTGTCTTATTTCCCGTCTCCCCTTACTCCTCTCCTTTCTTTTTTCATGGACTCACTGTCTAGCCCAGGCTAGCCTTGCATTTGCTATGTAGTTCAACTTGGACTCAAATTCATAATCCTTTTGCAAGTGTTGGGATTATAGGCGTGTACCTTCACACTCAGTTTCTTTGTTCTTGTTTTTGAAAACTTAAAATGATAATGATATACAAGAGGTTCAGAATATATTTTAAAAGGCTAAATTTATGATTATATTTTCTAATACAAAAATGAATACTTTATATTTCTGCTGTTTTCTATATGCAGGTGATATATTTTAAATATTTGAGACTATACCTGCAAAAATTTTAGCTTTTTAATGTAAATTGTTTTTTTGTTTTTTTTTTTTGGTCGGTTGTGGGGCTTGGACTCTGGGCCTGGGCGCTGTCCCTCAGCTCTTCAGCTCAAGGCGAGCGCTCTACCACTTGAGTTACAGCGCCACTTCCGGTTTTCTGGTGGTTTATTGGAGATAGGAGTCTCACAGGGTCTCTCCTGCCCGGGCTGGCTTTGAACCGCGATCCTCAGATCTCAGCCTCCTGAGTAGCTAGGATTACAGGCATGAGCCACCAGCTCCCGGCTTGTAAATTGTTTTTTTATGAGGGATAAAATGATGTGCTGTAGCTTTCTTTTGTTGTCCATGGACACTACTGCAGTGGCATGTCTGTGTTAGAAGCCAGAGGTTGGAATTGTTTGAGAGAAATTAAATGACTAATAAAAGGTAATGGAATTGAGTCTCTCGTATAAGAAGGCAGAATACCAGTAGAAACAAAATCTCTCATATATTGAAATATGTTCACTTCAGTTGTCAGATTCACTGGGATAGTATTATCATTAAACCAGAAACTGAAAAAGCTAAGGCTAATATATACCACTGATCTCAGATCATGAACTTAAAAAAAAAATCATTTAGTGCAAAAATGTTTTTATCTTTAAAAACTCAAGTTTTTTAAAAAGGATAATGCAAATTATAGATATGATAGAGGTTTGTAATCCTTTCACAAGGATAATGTGTTACCTTTTAATAGAAAAATGTGTTTAATCTCTAAATAGAAAAATGTGTTTTTTCTTTTTTCTTGCATGCTTAAAAAATACACACATAGTTTTAAATTCTTAATTATCATTTTAGTGTAGGCTAATATATTTTACCTCTTCTTCATATACGTACATAGATTTTTCTATTTTTTTCCATCTTGTTACAATATGTTTAACCTCAGATATTTTCCTGTAAACAGTTTGTAAATTACAAGTAAAATAAGTCTGTAATTTGGATGTACATCTGACTTAATTTTAAACAAATGGGAATTTTATGTACAGTCTACAGTGTTATTTTTTCTAATATGTTATAAAACTACCTTATAATTTAGTTGCAAGAAAAAATATTTTCCTTCTAAAGTTCCATATAATACTTTTGCCAGACACAATAATTTATTTATTAAAAAAAAATTTTTTTTTTGGGTCCGGTCGTGGGGCCTGAACTCTGGGCCTGGGCGCTGTCCCTCAGCTCTTCAGCTCAAGGCGAGCGCTCTACCACTTGAGCCACAGCGCCACTTCTGGCTTTTTTCTTTTTGCTTATGTGGTGCTGAGGAATCGAACTCAGGGCCTCATGCATGCAAGGCAAGCGCTCTACCACTGAGCCACCTTCCCAGCCCCAGACACAATAATTTATAACCCTTGTTTTGGAGTTAAGTATCTGATATAGATCTTCTCAGATAAAAATTGAGAAATGAACACACACATCTAGTACCATATTTCGGTTTTACATGTCTATAATCCTGTAGCTCCACTGAGCTCCAGGTTTAAGTTATTATCTTAAAGTGTGAACTTTCATTGAATTAAATTATGTATAGTGTTGTTGTTGTTGTTGTTTTGTTGGTCGTAGGACCTGAACTCTGGACCTGGGTGCTGTCCCTCAGCTCTTCAGCTCAAGGCTGGTGCTCTACCACTTGAGCCATAGCACAACTTCCAGCTTTTTTTACTTATGTGGTGCTGAGGAATCGAACTCAGGTCCTCATGCATACAAGGCAAACATTCTACCACTTATGTATAGTTTTTAAACTCAAAAGTTGTGGCTATGTATAGAGTTATTTTCACTGCTTAATACTACCAGCCAGTCAACCACTAATTACCAGTACATTTTTCTTCCTGTTCACAATTATGCTAGAGCTTCTAAATACTATTATATTTAAGTAATGATATTCTTTGATTAAAGTTCTAATCTAGCCAGGAGCCAGTAGTTCACACCTATAATCCTAGCTACTCAGGAGGCTGAGATCTGAGGATCAAAGTTCAGAGCCAGCCCAGCTTTCAGAGCCAGGAAAATCCTTGAGACTCTTATCTCCAATAAACCACCAGAAAACTGGAATGGCACTATGGCTCAAGTGGTACAGTGCTTACCTTGAGCAGAAGAGCTGAGGGACAGTGCCCAGGTCCAGAGTTCAAGCCTCATGACGGACCAAAAAAAAAAAAAAAAGTTCTAATGTTCCTTAAGGTATTAGTGCTAACATCTGTTTAGCCCTTTACCAATATCAGTACTAATTAACTTGAAAATAAAGCAACCAAAGTAGACACCTCTTCAGGTTTAGCAGCTTTAAGGAGGTGATTTTTACTTTTGTCTTTGAATTGAGACCTGAGTAATTTTTTATCCTAATACAAAAGTGTACTTACTTTTTTAATTGAACTTTGGATATACTAATAGACTAGGGAGAAATAGAAAAATAAGCATGGCTTATTAATGATCTGAAGAAATCCATCCTTAATGAAATCAAATACTATGTTATACATACAACATTAAATGAAACCCTTTTGTTACTGATAACTGGAATTATGTTAACCTTTAAATTTAGCCTCATTTATCCAAATTGAATCTAGCTACATTTAACAATTAGATATTGTTGAATAGAAGCATATCCCTACAGGGGCAGCGTCTGAACCTCTCTGTTCTCATTATTATTACAGGTACAGGTTCCTAGGCACAAAAAGAGAGAAGTCAGTAATCTGAGGACATACATGCTGATTGTAGTCTTTCTCTTTACTAGACATTTAGGCCTGGACCTGGTGCCCCGGAAGGACTTTGAAGTAGTAGATTCCGACCAGATTAGTGTCTCCGACCTCTATAAGATGGTAAGAAATCAAACATGGAGTAGCTTATTCCTGTATACCTCATCTTTTTTCCTTGATAATATTATAGCTTATAATTCTCTGATTATGTTTTAGAAATGGTATTTTTGAAGTGGATCCTTGGCCTCTGTCTCAGTAGACGCTTCCTTATTCTGTTGGTGTATTTCTCTACTGTATTTTCTTATATATGTGCCATTACTGGGCTTGAATTCAGTGCCCTTGGCTTGGCTTTTGCATTCACAGCTGACCCTCCACCAGTTGAGCCATGTCTCAGTCCATAGAACACTATACTGTCTAGGGGATAGTATACTATATACCATATATACTGTCTGGGGGACAGATCTCTGTTTACTCTGCTGGTTTTCCTTCAGCCTACAATATACTAACATTTGCCTACACTTTCCACACACCTGTTAAGAAGCTGCAAAGAGCCAATTGTTAATGTAGTCATTGAACCTGGAAATAATGTACCAAACTTTCTAAAGGCATGCCGTTTTTACAAGACATCCTCTGTAGGATGCTCAAAAGGGGTCTATATACACAATTGTAAGAAAGCTCTCAAGAGTGACTTGGAAACAAAGAAAAGCAGCAGAGTACTCCTAACATTAAGAACAGTAAAAAACATTGTAGATGAAAAAGCTTTTAAGCATCTGATATTAGAGGTCTATTGGTTATTATAAAAATCTGTTGGGTTGATTGATGACCAAGATTACATTTTACAGGCTAGTTAAAAGGTAAACAAAAGAAATGTAAAACATTTTAAAGTAGAACAAATAGAGTGTAGAATACTATAGAGAGAGTTAAGCTTAGACTAAGGGACTAGATATACTTCACTTTGGAGAAGCGTATATTCAGTGAATGTATACTGAATTGAAAGTTTTAGAATGTCTTTAAGCAAATTGTGATGCAACATGCTTCTAATCCCTGTACTCAGGAAGCTGAGGAAGGATGATTGTAGTTCAAGGCCAGCCTGAACCACATAGTGAGACCTTGTTTTAAGACAAAAATACATCTTTCAAAAAATGGAATACTTTTAGATACCATACAGGATACCAAGGATGCTGCCTGGTTGAGGACCTAAGGAAATTTTCCTAAGTAATATACAAATATTGTCTGTTTCAGTATATTTCCTTGTTTATATTTACTGATGTGCACAGCATTTGCTTTATACATGATCTATGAAGTTTTAGAGGTGTGAGGTACAGAGATTAAAGATGAACAACACTTAACCTCTCCCTCAAATATCTAACCATCTAGAATGTTGGTTTCTAACCCTTCCTGAGTCATAGATGGTCATTTGAAAGTTCCTCCCATATGCAAGTATGGATAGCATACAAAGTTTTTACAATCAGTTTTAGAGAAATTATAGTATTCCTAATGCTTTGTTTCTGTTCATGGACCCCATGTTAGAAACTCTGCTCTATGGACTAGAGGCATGGCTCTGCTGGTAGAGGGTCAGCTGTGAGTGCAAAAGCCAAGCCAAGGGCACTGAGTGCAAGCCCAGTAATGACACATGTACAAAAAACACAGTTTTTAAAACCAATTTTATATATAAACTTTTCTTTTGTGTATATACATTATATTCAATAATTTGCCTAGCTGTTGGGGACTTTATATTTAATATGTCTTATAGGTACCTACAGTTCCATGAATGAACACTCAATTATTGTTAGTGATACACATATAATAATATTGCTAATAATAAACATAAGTATTAATACTAAATATAGCTAGGACATTTCAGTTAGTATTTTTCATTTTATTTAGGGTTAAATGTTATGTGAATTTGGAAATGAAACCATCTCACTGTAGCAGTCATTCTTTTCACCCAGGTGATGTGAAGCAGTTCACCAAATAAGTTGATCCACTCCTCTAGCATCCAAAAGGAAGCAGGGTTGAAATGCTGACTGTTGAGTTCGCCAGCACTAGGCACTAAATATATGTGAACTCAGTCTTCTTGGCCAGGATTTACTTCTAAATGGGAATGAATTTTCTATAACTAATTATGAAGAAAGATACCAATTGTGGTATCTATACTAGTTATATAGAATACATAGAATAACTATCACTTTATAATAGATGAAGTTGAATTAGGCACAGCATTTTATCTCTGCTTTAAAGGTGAAAAATACACAGCTGGTAAATGTGAGTCAGAATTCAAAACCAGGTAAGTCTCTAATCAGGTTCCTAGCTATTGTAGCAAACTGATTCCCATTATTGGCTTGAATTCACAATGACCTGGAGAAGACAAAACAGGCACTTACCTCAGTTTTACAATTGAGGAAGAGATCTCTTGGCCAGGATAAATCACTTGATTAAAGTCTCATAGCCTATGAGTGACATAGCTGGAATTGGAATCTGCTTCGTCTAAATTTAGTCATCAGCAAAGAAATATCATGGTGAAATATTTGAGAGAGAGAGAGAGCGCGCGCCTTTTCTTTAAGGGCTCTATGTAGAAAACTTGAAGAGGCTGTATATGACAGCTCAGAAAATAGTACAGTGCGTGAAGACATTGCCAAATCAATAGTGCAGGAGCAGATATTCACCTGTGACTTGGCTAATATCTAGAAATAGAGAGGCAAGAGTTTGAATTCAAACTTCACCACCTTCTTACTATGTGACCTTCAACAGATCACTCTTTTACTCTCAGCTTTAGTTGTCTCCATCAAGTATGAATAAAATTTTCTAACAAAATTATCCGAATTAAATGAGCTTCTGAATACTAAAGCCATAGTAGGCTACCTAGCATGAAGGTTTTTTTTTTTTTTTTTAAATAAACATTAGTTTTCTTCCCAGTGGAGTGAGTCTTTTCTTTTTTTTTCTTTTCATAGCATTTGTCTAGCCGGCAAAGTGTACAACAAAGCACATCCCAGGTAAGCAGCTGACCCAGGCCTCCCAATATTTTCCCTTAATACTTTCTTCTAAGAGATCATAACAAATTAAAGTACCAAGAAACAATACATACCACTGACTTCTTGACTGTGTGTTGCCTTTCTTCTATGGAGCTTTAACTTCCAAGGAGTTTTTTTGACAGTTTCCATTCCTCTGTGCAAATTTTCTTAAACACGGTTAAAAGGAAATTGATAGACTAAAATGAATCTACTTGGGAAAAAAAAATTAAAATGTTAAGAATGGCAATAACCTCCTAACAGTATAAACCAAGTGTGTCACAGTCACAACAACATCTCGAAGAAATGGCTTTGAGCCAGGCATGGTGACCCATGCATATAAGCCAAGCTGCTTGAGTGGTAGAAATTGGGAGGATTAGAGTTTGAGACCAGCCTGGGCAATAAGTTAGTAATTCAGCCAGTAGGCTGGGCATCAGTGACACATACCTATTGTCCCAGCTATGCAAGGATAAATAAGGGAGGAATAAATAAGAGCATTGTAGTTCAGGCTAGCCTGGGCAATAACATGAGACCCTATTTTTTAAGTAACTAAAGCAAAAAGTGCTGGAGGCTTGTCCAAAGTGGCAGAATATTTGCTTAGAAAGTGCAAGACCCTAAGTTCAGACATCAGTATTGCTTTTAAAAAAGAAAAGGACTGATAGTTGATCCCTGGAGAATTTAGATTTGTGACCTGGTGGAGAGTTTTTTTTTGTCAGTCCTGTGGCTTGAACTCAGGGCCTGGGCACTGTCCCTGAGCTTATTTTTTGCTTAAGACTAGCACTTTACCACTTGAACCACAGTGTCACTTCCAACTTTTTCTGTTTATGTGGTACTAAGGAATCGAACCCAGGGCTTCATGCATGCAAGGCAAGCACTCTACCACTGAGCCACCTTCCCATCTCCCCTGGAAGAGATTTTTGTTCACTTGTAAGTTGAAATTTCAGTTCCCAAATTACCCTTACTTACTGTATTGTCTCCTCACAGTTGCTTGCTTGCCTATTTCACTTTAGGTCTATTGACATAACATCCCTCACTGGCACAGAAAACTGGCAGATTGAATACATCAGTCTTTCTTAAATAATTTCCTTCAATTGTATATGACACTTAGTAACTTAGTTTTTTAATAGAATGCATCACTGTTTTTTCTTACCTTCTTAGGTAGATACAATGCGCCCACGCCATGGTGAAACCTGTCGGATGCCAGTGCCACACCACTTCTTCCTCAGCCTGAAGAGTTTCACCTATAATACCATTGGGGAAGATACTGATGTCTTCTTTTCTCTATACGACATGAGAGAAGGCAAGCAGATCAGGTAAGAGTCAGTAGTAAGTTTCAGTGAGAATGAGTCTGTATATTAGAATGGCAACTCTGACTTTCAGAGAAGATGGATGCACAGACCAAGAAACTAACTCTGTCTTATTAGCTGTTGAGTTTGGTCTCAGTTCCTAGTGCATCCAAAGTCATCTAAACCATCCTGTGTTGTGTTAGCTTTCCATCTCTGTGGTAGAATACCTGATATAAACAGCTTACAAAGAAGACAACTTATTTTGACTCATGCTTTCATTCCATGGTCAGTGTGTCCATTGTTTTATGACCTGTGGCACAAGATAGAACATCATGACATGGAGAATGTGATGGGGCAAAGCCACTCACCACCTGGTAGCCAGGAAGCAGAGAGAGACAGACAAGGGCCTAGGATCCCAGTATTCCCTTCAATAGTATGACCCAGGAACCTACTTCCTCCAACTAGACCTCATTTCCCAAAGGTGCTGAAACTCCATATCCAAATTATAGTATATACATACATATATACCCCCCCTTTAAAAGTATTTGCCTATTTTTACATAGAAGTTTAAAATTGTGTCTCAGGGAGAGAAAAAAATAGCTTTTGTTTAGAGTCAGAGAAAATGCCGAAGAGAAACAGAGAAAAACAAAGTTATCAGAGACACCTGGGCCCAGAATGCAGAAAACCTTGGGCCTTGACTAGCTGTATGTGAGTGAGAGAGCCCAGAGAGAAAAGGGCTATTAGTTTCCTGTCTGAGGACAGCCCCAGCTTTCAATGCTATTCCATCCCTGTGATGAGGAGAGAATCTTCTTGGCAGAAGAGAAGGAAGATAACATACTTTTGTCATTCCTTTTTACCATCAAGGAATGAATAGTATATACTTGTAATTCTAGTTGCACAGGTGGACAAAGGAAGGACAATCATGATCTGAGGCTGGGCCTAGGTAAAACCAGAAGATCCTATCTGAAAAATTACAAGAGAGGGCTTGGTTCAAGTTAATACTGTGCCTGCCTGGCAAGTACAAAGCCCTGAGTTGAGTACCAAAGAAGGGAAGGAGGATGGGCCCCATAGAGTTAGAGAAAATATTTGTAAATTGTGTGTGTGTATACATACATACATACATACATATAATAGGGTTCTAGTATTCATATTACTTGTAAAGAATTCTTACTACTCAATAAGACAAAAATGGAGAAAGAAACTGGGCATAATGGTTCAAACTTATAAATCCTAGTAACTTGGGAGGCAGAGATCTAGACATTTCAGTTCAGGGCCAGCCTGGGCATAAGAGTTCTGGATTCCTTTGCAACCAATGGCTGGACATGGTGATACTATGCCTGGTATCCCAGCTAATGGAGAAACACAGTGGAATGTGCCTGTTATCTCCAGTGATGCAGAAAGTCCAACTAGGAAGATCACAGCCTAGATCAGTCCAGCATAAAGCAAAACTGTACCTCAAAAATAACCAAGACAAAGAGAGATTGGAGATCTCTTGATGTAGTAGAAGCACGTGCAAGGCCCTGAGTTCAATCCCAAGTACTACACATAAAAAAGGGCAAAAATCTGAATAGACATTTTTCTAATGAAATATACAAATGGAAATCAAGCACATGGTATAGCCATTAAGGAAAACAGTATATCAGTGTCTCAAAAAATTGAAAGTAGAATATGCTTCAGCCATTCTATTTCTGAGTATAAAATACACAAGAACTGATACAAAGATCTTAGAGAGTATTGTACACTCATTTTCATAGCAGCATTATTCATAGTAGCCCAAAAGAATAGAAGCAACCAAGGATCAATCAGCAAGTGAATGGATAAACGTAGTATGGTGTATATATATACATAATGGAGTATTGTTTAACCTTGAACAAAGAAGGAAATTCTGACACATGTTAAACATCCATGAATTTTTTTTTTTGGGTCCGGTCGTGGGGCCTGAACTCTGGGCCTGGGCGCTGTCCCTCAGCTCTTCAGCTCAAGGCTAGCGCTCTACCACTTGAGCCACAGCGCCACTTCCGGCTTTTTTTTTCTTTTTGCTTATGTGGTGCTGAGGAATCGAACCCAGGGCCTCAGGCATGCAAGGCAAGCGCTCTACCACTGAGCCACCTTCCCAGCCCAACATCGATGAATTTTGAGGCCATGAATGAAGTAAGCTGGTCACAAAAGAACAACTGCTATATAATTTTTCTTTTTTTTTTTTTGGGTCCGGTCGTGGGGCCTGAACTCTGGGCCTGGGCACTGTCCCTCAGCTTTTCAGCTCAAGGCTAGCGCTCTACCACTTGAGCCACAGCGCCACTTCCGGCTTTTTTCTTTTTTCTTATGTGGTGCTGAGGAATCGAACCCAGGGCCTCAAGCATGCAAGGCAAGCGCTCTACCACTGAGCCACCTTCCCAGCCCTATAATTTTTCTTATAGAGATGTATTTAGTCATCAGATCTGTAGACACAGAAAGTAGAATGGTAGTTGCAGAGTTGCAAGCAGGTAAGGAGAGAGAGAAATGGGAAGTTGCTTAATGGGCACAGGGTTTTATTTCTCTTAACATGAAAAGAAATCTGGAGATGAATTAATAACTGTGAATGTATCTGATAGTACTGAACTATATGCTTCAGAATAATTAGGTAGGAAATTTTATATGGTCTGTGTTTTACCATAATTTCTTTTAAAGGAAGGTGAAATGAAGATTTTATCAGTTAGAACAGGTGGAACAGGGATAAATGAGGGTGATTAAAGTAGGCACCAGTGGCTCCTTCCTGTAATCCTAACTACTCAGGAGACCAAAATCTGAAGATTTCAGTTCAAAGCTGGCCCAGGCAAGAGAGTCCATTATACTCGTTATCTCTGTTAACCATTAGAAAGCCAAAAGTGGAGCTATGACTCAAGTAGAACATTAGCTTTGAGGGAAAAATGTAAGGAAGCGCACCCAGGACCTGAGTTCAAGCGTTAGTACCAGCACAGAGACATGGAGACAGAGAGAGACAGAGAATAATCCAAGTACATTGTATATATGTATAAAAATGTCATGCACCCTATTATTTTTTAATATTTATGTATGCTAATAAAAAGTTTTAAAGATGTTTCTGAGTTAAGCAAAGACTGAAAAGTTAAATACTAGTAGACCTTCTTTATAAGAAACACTAAAGGAAGTCCTATTAAAGTCCTCCTTTAGTAGGAGCACAGAAACTAAAAAGAAATCAGATATTAACTTGAATTTATATCCTTGAAAAGAAAGAATAGGATGTCATGCAGAGGACTTTTTAGAGAATAACAAGGGCTCTTTAAATGAAAACACTATGGGTAAAATGAAAATCTCAGTTGAAAGGTTAATGAAGTACAACAGAGAGTACAGAGGAAACAATAAAAATGGAAATAAGTAATTAGAGTAAAGTCCAGGAAATCCAGGCTTTTTAAATAGGAGTCTAGAGTAGGAAACAAAGCAAATAAGGGAAATTCTCAGTGAAGTAATTAGGGAAACTTTGTTTAGATTTTTAAAACAAATTTCCAATTCAGAAGTACCATTTAGTATGCAGACAGTGGATAAAATACATTTACAACAAGATACAAAGCATATTATTTTAAATCACTAGTGCCAAATACCTTAAAGGCTTCAAAATGAAAACAAAAATGAAAAAAAAAAGTTCATACCAAAGATCAAGAATAAAAAGCCTAGCTGGGTGTTTGTGGCTCACACTTATAATCCTAGCTGCTCTGGAGACTGAGATCTGAGGATTATGGTTCAAAGCCAGGCTGGGCAGGAAAGTGGCTCAGTGGTAGAGTGCTTGCCTTGCATGCGTGAGATCCTGAGTTCAATTCCTCAGGACCACATAAACAAAAAAGGCTGGAAGTGGCACTGTGACTCAAGTGGTAGAGTGCTAGCCTTGAGCCTAAGAGCTCAGGGACGGCACCCAGGCCCAGAGTTCAAGCCCTATAACCAGCACCCCCCCAAAAAAAAATCCTGAGGGAATTCCTCCTCCCTCCCACTCACTCCCCACCCTCAGTTTAAAGTTCTTTACTGGCATCATTTACGGAGGAAGGTAAAGGTATTTCCAAATGTACAAGGTTTTTTTTTTTCCCCCTTCTGATTCCTGATTTTATTGTTCAATTTCTTTTTTTCCATTTAAGGTGCTGGGAAGCCTGGCCTCCTAGGGCCAGAGTTAGTTGGAGCTGGTTATCCTAGGAAGGGCCTAGGTTAGTGGTCTAAGATGGGGTTAGCATGACGTTCCACTCTGTTCAGTTGTTTGATTGGGTTTGTGGGTTCCATTTGGTCCAGTGTGGTCCTGTCCAGTCTATCAATCATAGGTCAAGAAGTTAAAGTAGTATACCTCACAAAGTCTGAGCTGTGGTAGGAAGGGGATAAGGTAGGAACAGTAGACTGGGGAAATGGGCCATAGCCAGTTCCCTAGTTCATTCTTTACTAATATTCCTCAGTGGTGGCATTCTCTGCAGTCCTAGACATCCTTCTTTTTCTTTTAAAACTATTTCTCAAGCGCTGTTTTTTAAGGAGCTGCTTCAATATGTGATCTACCAAATAAAGGGAATAAGTAAAGGAATAGACTAACTTAGGATCTAAGGAAAAAGGGTATATAACACAGAAGAAAGAAAAGGAGTATCTCAGATGTTGATAACAAGAAATATCAAGATGTCTGCTTAGTAGCAGATCACCTCGTTAGTATTTGAACAGGTCAAAAAGGCTCTAGGAGAAATTTTTTCCTTTTAGAAAAATTTACTTTGTTGTTAGTATAAAAGTGATACACAGTGGGGCTACAGTCATGTAAGTCAGGTAATGAGTGTACATTTCTTTTGGGACAATGTCACCCCTTCCCTTACGCTCTCCCACTTTTTCCTTCTGTCCCCACCCACAAGTTGTATAGTTCATTTAGAGTCTAGTTTGTAGCACTGCTGCATTTGTTCACCCTTTGTTAGGAGAGATTTCCTTTAAAAGATGAAAGCAAAGGGCTGAAGATGCAGCTCAGGGGTAGAGCATGTAGTGCTAAGTACTGGGGGAAAAAGATGAACCTAGAAATAATACCTGGCTTATTGGATATGTTGAAAGGAAGAGGAATTCACATGACTAAAGGAATGTGGGAGTTGAATTAGTGAAGAGTACCTTTCTAGACAAATGATTTTCCCAGTAGTCTTTATTATTAGTAGTCTTAATTATCAGTAGTAGTCTTTATTAGTAGTCTTAATTCATGCTTCTGTAATAGAATGGGGCCCAGAGGTGGAGCTCAAGTGGTAAAGTGCTTGCCTAGAATGCACAGAGCCCAAAATCCAGTTCTCACTACCTGAGTCCTGCCGCTGATTCTTTAGCTTTAGCTGTTTTTTTTTTGAGATTGGAAACAGCATTTTCCCAGGTTGATCTCTGACCAATCTTCCTTTCTTAGTCTCCCAAGTAGCTAGGACTTGCACCCCAGTGCTCAACTTGTTCTGTGCAATAATGCCTTTTTTGCTTAGACTGGTCTCCACCTCCAGTCTTTTTCTCAGCCTTCTAAGTAGCTAGTATTTACAGGTGTAAGCTACTACTCCCAGTCCTGGCCACTATATTTTTTGTTGTATAAATTTCCTTATTCACAAAAGTGTCATTGTTTAACTTACTGTCTGTATACCATTGGGAGGCAGTGTTAATATTCCTGGATCTCTCACTGGACTTCTGCAAATTTTGCAATCTTCTAAAACCTCAGGATGTCAAGTGTTTTATTTAATCACTCACCTGACTTTGCGTACACAATGCTTGCCTTCAGAAACTTTCCTCTTTTGATGATAGTATGGATGTATAAACACCTCACTAGCCACTTTTGTATGGATGCTGTGCAAAGCAAGCTGCAAAGTCCTTATATTCTCTTCCTGGAATTTACTCAGCATTCAAAATACCCTTGTGTAGAGTAAACTTTTTCTTGAAAATCAGCTGCTTCTATAATTGAAATAGAGGACTCTGCTTGATAGTTAAGCATTCTACCTAAATGAGATAATTTGACTCAGAAGATCTCAGGAGCCCCTGGGGAGAAATTTTCATTTAAAATGATCAGTGAGTACTCTGTTTATTAAAGTTAACAGTTTTGTTTCCCTCTGCGAATGAGGTCATATCTTGTAATGCAACTAGAGCTTACCTGCAGGAACGCAGGCTGTGAATTATAGACCTGCAGTAAGTATTGTTATAGTCGGACCTGTTTTAGCTTGGCCTGAGACGTAGGCTATTGCTGACTACTCCACATCCCCACAAGGATTTCCTATAAGTCCCAGCAGAGATAGAGATAAACTAGTACCCTGAAGACTGTCACCATCACTTTTGTTTTTTGGTTGGTCATGGGGCTTGGATGCTGTCCCTCAGCTCTTCAGCTCAAGGCGAGCACTCTACCACTTGAGCCACAGCGCCACTTCCGGTTTTCTAGTGGTTTGTTGGAGATAAGAGTCTGATGGACTTTCTCTGCCTGGGCTGGCTTTGAACCGTGATCCTCAGATCTCAGCCTCCTGAGTAGCTAGGATTACAGGCGTGAGCCACCAGCGCCCGGCATCACCACCACTTTTTTTCTCTGCCCTGCTCTCTCTGGTCTGACATTGTCAATATGTGCACCTTTCCTAAAAATTACAAAGGTATAGAGAAACCAATGGTTCTCTCTTTCCTTCCCTTTCTCCCTCTATCTTCTTCCTTCCCCACACACAGGCACACCATAAACTAGAGCTCTGTGCCTTCTCAATGAGGAATAGTGAAGAAATAGGTATTTATATGAACAACAAATAGATGTTTATATGAAATTATTTGTAATCCCATCATTTTGATAAGTTTAATTTCTAATATAACTCAAAACAAAAGTTTAGAGAGAATGAATGCAAATTAGGGTTTAAAGCTAATGTATCTCAAACCAGTGGCCATGCCATCCGAACATGCTTCTGCTTATATATCCAGGTGGATCAACTCTTACTCAAAGGCACTAAAATGAAAGTCTTCCATGCTAGCAGAGAAAGCAGTCAAATATATACATATTTATACCTACTTAATATAGTAACTAAATAAATTCTACAGCATATTTGAAAAGATAAGTATTTTAGAATAGCAAAGCAAAATATAAGAGAGATTTTTACCATCTTAATCAGAGTAGGTCTTACTAAGAAGGAGAACATACACACAATGGATTGTCTTTCAGAACTCTTTCTCTCACCCTTTCATCCTTTGATTTCAACTCAAGATGAGATCTCTTGGTACTTAAAATATGATTTGTGAAAGCTGAAATGTTACACAATGTGAGTTAAGTTATTATACTAGACTAAAATAGACTTTCAACAGTAACTCTGTAGTTGAAAAAATGACTGAAAAATCTGGCTGGATTCATATATCTATCTATCTATCTATATATATGTATATATAATTTTTTTGTGTTGAGTCACAGGGCTTGAACTTGGCCTGGGTGTTGCCCTTAAGCTATTTTGTTCAAGGCTGTTGCTCTACCACTTGAGCTACAGCCACCTCCAGCTTTTTCTGAATAGTTGATTGGAGATTAGATTCTCTAGACTTTCCTGCCCAGGCTGGCTTTGAACTGTGATCCTCAGGTCTTAGCCTCCTGAGTAGCTAAGATTACAGGCATGAGCCACTGGTACATAAATGGATTCATATTAATTTGTGTTCATATTCTATACTTTTCTCATTTGTACCCTTGCCTAAAACCAGTGATAGTCACTTCTTCCCTTATTCCTAATGTCCATTTGGCAAAACCTCAAAGTTACAACTAATACCTGTTCCATAGTAGTGAATGAAGAGAAGTACCAGGAGATCATGAAAAATTCAGATTAAAAGTTTGTGAATTTTTATTTTCAAAAAGATTTTGTTAGGCTGGGAAGGTGGCTCAGTGGTAGAGTGCTTGCCTTGCATTCATGAGGCCTTGAGTTTGATTCCTCAGCACCACATACTGTGGCTTAACTGGTAGAGCGTTAGCCTTGAGCTGAAGAGCTGAGGGACAGTACCCAGGCCCAGGGTTCAGGCCCCACGACCGACCAAAAAAAAAAAAAAAAAAAAGATTTTGTTAGCTAGGCACCGGTGGCTCACGCCTGTAATCCTAGCTACTCAGAAGGCTGAGATCTGAGGATCTGTTCAAAGCCAGCCCAGAAAGGAAAGTCCGAGAAAATCAGAAGTAGCACAGTAGCTCAAGTGGTAGAACACTCACCTGGAGCTGAAGAATTGAGGGACAGAGCCCAGGCCCAGAGTTCAAGCCTCATGACGGACCAAAAAAAAAACCAAGACTTTGTTTTAAAGTCTATTTTGAGCTGGGTGCCAGTGGCTCATGCCTGTAATCCTAGCTATCAGGAGGCTGAGATCTGAGGATCACGGTTCAAAGCCAGCCCAGGCAGGAAAGTCCATGAAGCACTTATCTCCATTAAACCACCAGAAAACTGGAAGTGGGGCTGTGGCTCAGTTGATAAAGCACTTGCCTTGAGCTGAAGAGCTGAGGGACAGCACCCAGGCCCAGAGTTCAAGCCCCACGACCAACAAAAAGAAAAAAAAAATAAAGCCTATTTTGCTAGGAGAGTAGTATAGCCTTGAGACCTCTTGCCTGTTGTCAGAGCACCAACTGGCAAATTGTCACAAGAGAAATGCTAAGTAGTTGATGTCCATCTCTGGGGAAGACCAAATGGGAAGCAAAAAATTAAATTGAAAGAGTTGGAGGAATTCCTCTGATTTTATTTGAGAAAATGGCTTTTATTAGCAAGACACTGTTACAAAAGACTGTCCTTGAGGATAAAGACTTTGCTTCTTCCAGTTCATGGCAGACACCAAACATGCTCAGAGGGTACATGAATCACCCTCATGAAGTGTGTCAAAATGTAGTACAATGCAGGGATTATAATGCTCATAAAAACAAGTGATCTTAAAATTAGGCTTGTCACAAATGCAAATTATGGAATTAAGTTTTAAAAAGTCTTCGTTCACTGGATGTCCGTAGTTCATCATTATAAAGACAACTAAACGTTGTATACTTACAGCTTATTAAAGAGGAATGTCTGATCTTTTCTATAGAGAAAGATGATTGACAAACAGTTTGTTAGACACAGTTTTTTACTCAAATGACTTAAGAGAAAGAATGGATTGTGGCTCTTTGATCAGGGTTTTTTCTGCATCTGCCCTTTTTAGTTTGAACATACAGTTCCCTTACACTTCTCTTTCCTGCATTTCAGTGAGCGGTTTCTGGTGAGACTGAACAAGAATGGTGGGCCACGGAACCCAGAGAAGATAGAACGAATGTGTGCCCTTTTTACAGTATGTGCAAATTCTCTTTCCCTTTTATGTTATTGACTGTAACCAGGGACTTGCTGTGTGGATATTGTTACCCAGGCAATGAGTATTCTTATTTTCCAAACATTGATGCGAATGGGACTTGATTTATGTTCTGTCAGGTTTTAGTGAAATATTTATAGAGAACTTAAATTAGCTATGATTTTTAGCTGGGTTTTTGTTAAAGAAATGTGATCAAATGACTTTTACTAAAATAGATTTTTTTATCAACTATTTTACAGAAGGCCTCCGATGTATATAACTGCTCTTAAAGGCATTCACCCCAATCTGCAGCTTAGTCTGTAAGTTCATATGAAGAAAGACTAAATAGTCTTCTTCCAAATACAAGAGGGTCTTTTTCTGCTCTGATCTACACTTCAGTTTTTTTCTGAATAGCCATACAATTGTCTGTGGTCTCTGTAATCATGAAGCTATCAACTCAGAGCAGGCTTGGTAGTCTGCTTATTGAAAAAACTAAACCTTACAGTACCACACTGCTTTTGTATTGCATACTCCAGATAAATTCAGCCTTATTAACTTTCTCACCCAACCAAAGTACTTAATTTTTAACTACATGGATTAGTATATTTCCTAAAGCAGGAAACAAAACTTTAGAATTAGGAACCATTTTAAAATTTTTATTGTTATTATAAAGATGATGTACAGAGGGGTTATAGTTACATAAGTCAGGTAAAGAGTATGTTTCTTTTTGGACAGTGTCACCCCTTTATAAGCCATTTTTGACTGTTGTGGATTCTTTTATCTCTTTCATTGATAAGAGATACATTGAATATCATTGGTCAGATGTGGCTAACCAGATCCTATTTCAATATAAAAACAAAACTAACAGGAATCATACTGGGCTTAGGAATGCGTGATAGTGTCACATTATCACTGATCCATCTGGGGATCCTGATATGTGACTTTCTTTGAAAGCTAAAAATGGATTTGTTTACTTAATTCACAACTGCATTTTTCAAAATGTTAATGTACTATCAGAAACCATGTTTACAAGTATAATTTTCACTGAGAATATTCCAGATATACAGAAAGATTTATAAATCTGGATGAGCCGAATATTTTGTTCTACTTTGAACTCAGCATGCAAGGCTTAGGAGATAATTCAAGGGGAGAAAAGAATAAGAAAAGCAGACCCATGAGGAACAACAGAAGATGGTAAAGGGAGTTACAATGGTTTAGTTTGGGAGGATCAGTGATCTCTCTTCTCTTCCATAGAAAAAGAGCAAAGGAAAAAAATCTAGACTATAGTTAATGGGATTTAGGTCAAACTACTGGTTGAGAGCTCTGGATTGACAGTGCCTGACCACTGAGGTCTCTGAGACCTTTCTGAAACAGAACTAGGAGATGAGACTAATGAGAATGTCTGAGTAACCTTAGAATTTTTTTTTTAAGATCCTGATTCCCTACTATTATCTAGTAAAAGAGCAAGAATAATTGTTTATGCCTTGTTTGGATTTGTGGGGATGGAATTTATTTGTGTGTATGTGTGTGTGTTCCTTGAATTCTTAAATATGGTGAGTTTAGTCCTTGACTCTTGAAAAACCAATTTAATTATGATGATATTTGAATGTAATTACAGTGAATCAAAATTTTCACTTCACATTTTAATTATCTATATGGGCCCAGGAGCCAAAGCTGTTACTTCAATTTTAAAAACCAAAGATGCACATAACATTTAGGATGTGCTCCTATTCTGCCACAATAGAAAGACACAAAGGTGCTTAATATATCCCTTTGTAGTACAGCCCTGATTTTTTTCTTTAAGTCTGAAACAGGGCTGGGCATGGTGATGAATGTCCTATAATCCCAATCACATAGGAGGCAGACACAGGAAGACTGATGTTCACAGCCTACCTGGGCAAAAGTTAACAAGACCCTATCTCAAAATCATGCTGGACATACTGGTTTATTACTGAAAGCCCAACTAGGATGGAAGCAGTGGTAGGAAGTTTATTTTCTAAAACTGGCCCTGTGCATAAAAAAGACCCTATCTGAAAAATAAACTAAAGCCAAAAGGGTTGGCGGTTCTTACCTAGTGGGGACAAAGCGCTGAGTTCAGGCTCCACTATATACGTACATACATACATACATATTTGGTACACCAGTATACTGATATATATGTGTGTGTGTGTATGTATGTATGTATGTATGTATGCATTTGGTCGGTTGTGGAGCTTGAATTCTGGGCCTGGGCGCTGTCCCTCAGCTCTTCAGTTCAAGGTAAGTGTTCTACCACTTGAGCCACAGTGCCACTTCCGGTTTTCTGGGATTATAGGTGTGAGCCACCGGCGTCTGGCCCAAAAATATTTTAAAAGTTAAAAATTTGAGTCACTAATGAGCTTTTGATATTTTATAATTTTCTGCACTTAACATTGATTCTTTTTGTTAAAAAATGTTTTTGCATGATGGTAGAATAAGTTAATGGATTAATGAGGAAGTTTTTGTAGATACTTGATTTATTAGGTGGTGTAAATTAGGACTGAGAAATACTGCCAATAAATATACTTTTAGGGGCTGGGAAGGTGGCTCAGTGGTAGAGCGCTTGCCTTGCATGCATGAGGCCCTGGGTTCGATTCCTCAGCACCACATAAGCAAAAAGAAAAAAGCTGGAAGTGGTGCTGTGGCTCAAGTGGTAGAGCTCTAGCCTTGAGCTGAAGAGCTGAGGGACAGCGCCCAGGCCCAGAGTTCAGGCCCCATGACTGGACCCCCCCCCCAAAAAAAATATATATGCATACACACACTTCTATCTGGGCATGTAGGCAGAAAAGCCTCTGAGACTCCATTTCCAGTTAACCTGAAAAATACTGGACTGGTGATGTGAGAGGTAGAGCACCAGCCATGAGCAAGCAAGCTGAGCAAGTGTGAGAAGCCTTGACTACCCACACCCATACACAAAATAAAAAATTAAAAGAAGTGTTGGAGAGTTAGTGGAGTATAATAACTCCCTAGCAAGCTTGGGAGCCTGAGTTCAAATGCCAATATCAACCCCCCCCCCCACACGCACACACGTGTGCACACGCACGCACACACACACACACACTCACACTCTAGACTCATGTCATAAATCTTGGGAGCTTGAGTTCAAATGCCAGTATCGCAACACACACTCACGCGCGCACACACACACACACACACACACTCTAGACTCACATCATAAATCTTGGGAGCCTGAGTTCAAATGCCAGTATCACAACACACACGCACGCACACACACACTCAAACACTCTAGACTCATGTCATAAATCTTAGAAACATTAAGTTGTTGTATATTGCAGTCTCTATTCTCCTACATACAAATATACTAAAAGGAAACTACTTTGAGACTCATAAAGAAATTTTGTGTTCTATATATTCCTTGCCTGAATTTACTTTTTTTTTTTCTTATTTTAGGATCTGAGCAGCAAAGATATGAAGAGAGACTTATATATTGTTGCCCATGTGATCCGAATAGGTACTGTTCATCTAATCTATTCACCTGTTTAAGACTAGCCCAACTTTTTTTTTTTTTTTTTGCCAGTCCTGGGGCTTGAACTCAGGGCATAGGCACTATCCCTGAGCTTCTTTGGCTCAAGGCTAGCACTCTAACCCTTGAGCCACAGTGCCACTTTTGGCTTTTTCTGTGTATGTGGTACTGAGGAATCGAACCCAGGGCTTCATTCATGTGAGGCAAGCACTCTACCACTAAGCCACCCTCTCAGCCACTAGCCCAACTTTTTGGGATAAGTATGTCCTAAGTGTGAGTTTTGTTTTTCCCCCCAGCTCTTTTAAGACTCAAATTTAGAATCCAGCTCTTTCTTTTTTTACACTCCCTTAAGGTCATCTGCTGCAATAGTTGGGTTTGATATAAAGGAATGAATTTTTCTCACTTTTATTTTAAATTTTTTTACTTCTTTAAGTCACATTGCATTCCCCCTCAGAGATCTTACAGAAAGTTGCCAGATTGCTGATATAACAGATGGCAATGCCCCTTGCTGTAGTTTGTGTCCAAAATTATGTATCTATGCCATTTTCCACAAAATCGGAGCTATTGTCATCACTCTAGAAAATAGGTAGCATCTCATTTCTACACAAATGGAAATGGAAGAAATAACTTTTATCATTTATTATTGGCTAGTTCATCCTTATTTCAAATTTCACATAGAACTTTTGGGTATATGACTAACCACATTTTCCTTTATAGTTTGTACCTGTTGTGTACATTTTATCCCTTGCTAACAATAAAAAAGCTATTTTGTTGTAACTGAGAAAGCATTTATTAAGGTTCTAACATTTGCAAGACCTCTTGCAACTGTTGGCATGACCGTGGTAAATGAGAAAAGTAAGCAAACATCCACTTCTCAGTGTACCCTCGCTCCCACAGTGGTTCTGGAGCATCTTTGGCAGTAGATTTTGGTTGGAGGAAACATGCAGCATTCTCCTTATCTTTGTATAGTTTATACCTGGAAACTTATGCTGAACCTAATGTTAATATGCCTGTCAGGTTTAAATCTGTTAATGGTTTTTCTAAGAAATTTAGAAAGCCACTCTTTTTTTCTCATTTGGCCAATAAATGGACTAATCATGTTGAATTAGAGATAGGTAGTAAGACTGAATGTGGTATAGGAGAAGAGGCTTGGCTAGAGGCCTGTTTGATATATCATTGGATGACTCCCTTTAGCTCTACACTTCCAACTTGAAGGATCTCTTAGGTACCTGCCACTCTGGCATCTTTGCATGACAGACAGGAGATACTGGAAAGGAGTATGGAGTTCTCTACCTGCTGACTAATGTGTTCTGTTTTGCTCAAGGCCGGATGCTCCTGAATGACTCCAAGAAGGGCCCTGCTCACCTGCACTACAGGCGACCATATGGCTGTGCAGTGCTTAGCATCTTGGATGTCCTACAATCACTCACAGAATTAAAGGAAGAAAAGGATTTTGTTCTCAAGGTTTACACGTGAGTAATGAGCATCAGTAATCTTAATGATTTGAAACATAAGGCATTCCAGCACTACCCTGACAGTAGTAGTTCTGAAGTCTCATGATTACTGGGTTACCAAGATGTAGAATAGTTTTTTGAAAATGTATAAAATTTGATCTAAGGTTTGGGGTGGGGCTCAGGCATCTTTATTTTTAATAAGCTTCGCAGATGATTCTGAAACATCTGAGTTTAGAACCTTCTCTACTAAAGTGAACGTCTAATAATATGTATTTCCCTTTTTCTCCAAAATACTCATTTCTTCTCCAAAATGAGCCAACCTTATTGTACACTTTTCCGAAAAGCTAAAAATACAGTTTCTTACATGTCTTGGATATACCTAATACCCAATAGCTATTATAACTGATTTAGCTAATAATGTAGATTGCTTCAAAAAATGTCTAGTAATAATGTTTTCCTGTCTCTGAAGAAAACCAATTTTTCTGAGAAGACAAGATCATCTAAATCTTTATTTCTGTTATTACAGATCCCTAAGTCATATTCAACAGGCATGCCTTTTTTTTTTTTTTTTTGGCCAGTCCTGGGGCTTGAACTCTGGGTCTGAGCTTCTTTTTACTCAAGGCTAGTACTCTATCATTTGAGCCACAGTGCTGTTTCTGGCTTTTTTCTGTGTATGTGGTAATGAGGACTCAAACCCAGGGCTTCATGCATGCAAGGCAAGCATTCTACCACTGAGCCACATTCCCAGCCAGACATGACATTTTTAGTGTTACTTAGTCAAGAAGCAATCCTATCTTGTCATGACTCTTGTTAAGCAATAGAAAAACATAACTAAGAAAGGAAACAAAGAATTTGGTCATATAGTCTGTCTTGGTTTATAGACATTCAGAAGCAAATAGCAAAATTAAAATGATCAGTGGTGAGGTAGGTATCCCTTCCTTCCTTCCTTCCTTCCTTCCTTCCTTCCTTCCTTCCTTCCTTCCTTCCTTCCTTCCTTCCTTCCTTCCTTCCTTCCTTCCTTCCTTCCTTCCTTCCTTCCTTTCCCTTTCCCTTTTTCCCTTTCCCTTTCCCTTTCCCTTTCCCTTTCCCTCCTTCCCTTTTTCCTTTTCGTTGATTGTAAGGCTTGAACTCTGGACCTGTGCACTGTCCCTGCGTTCTTCAGCTCAAAGCAAGTGCGCTACCGCTTGAGCCACAGCACCACTTTAGGTTTTCTGGTGGTTTATTGGAGATAAGAGTCTCACAGACTTTCCTGCCCAGGCTGACTTTGAACTGTGATCCTCAGATCTCAACCTCTTGAGTAGCTAGGATTATAGACGTTAACCAACATTACTCAGCCCAATAAAATTTTTTACAAATTAAGTTAAATACTTTTTTTTTTTTAAGTTAAATACTTTTAATTACTATATTAATATATCTTCACCATATTGTATGGATATTTTTCTGCATTGTTACTCTATCCATTTTTCTCAGACATGAACTTAACTTACAATTGTATTTTGGGGTTTTTACAATCAGTCATATTTGATTAATTTCTAATAAAAGCCCAAGTATTTTCATTACATGATTTTCATTAAGCTCTCTTCTGTTAAGAGTTGTATATTTTATGGGAGGAAGATCTTCCTTTAAAGCAGTAACTAAAGTAGTAACTTGCAAAGAAAAATTTGGCAAGTTTTTCTTCAGGGCCTCATTTGCAGATTTTTCTCTATATACTGAGTTTCTTTTTTGATAGGTGGTAGAATCTTTTTTTTTTTTTTTTTTTTGTCGGTTGTGGGGCCTGAATACTGGGCCTGGGTGCTGTCCCTCAGCTCTTCAGCGCTTTACCACTTGAGCCACAGTGCCAGTTCCAACTTTTTCTACTTACGTAGTGCTGAGGAATTGAACCCAGGGCCTCGTGCACACAAGTCAAGCACTTTACCACTGAGCCACCTTCCCAGCCCATAGAATCTGTTTTTTCAAATGTTTTTCTCCCTTTGAAAAGGACCAAATAGAAATCCAAAATCATCTTTATTCTCATCTCACTCCATTGTATCCTTTTCAAGAGACTTAGGGCAATGCTCTTGACTTTCGTCACTTTGCATGTATCAACCACCTTACTTCAGTACAAATTATCATTGCAGATTAGGGACATGCACGGCATCCCTTCTAAAATCAGGCTGTCAGGCTTAATTTGCCTAATTGCCTCTAAAACAACAGCTTTCTGTACTAGTGTGCCACTTTGCAAGAAGTGGGATTCATGTATGGTATTTTCTTAGCTCCTTCCTACAGGTTTGGCAATTCTAAAAAGCCAAAGATATGTTTGTAGGAAAGATAGCTTTTGATTTTTTTCTTTTGAAAGACTAATAGAGTTAAAAACATAGGACAATTTTTCTACTTAAAATTTTAACAGACTTTCAAACAGATGTCCAAATACATAAAGCCCTGATTTTGACACCAGCACCACAAAAAAGAGAGAAAGTAATAGAAAAGCAACTGATAAAATGGGCTGTCATATATGAAAATAGTACTTCAACTATGTTGAACAGATTCTGCATTCAGCCTAAGAAAGCTAAGGCAGGAGGATCTTGAGTTCCAACTGCTCTGATGCTTCTGAATACTTAGTTTTAAAACTAAAACCCTGTGTCTCTCTTGTACTCCCTAAGTAAATCCCTGGGCAAATAGTGATTGAAATGCTACTTCACTGCCTATGCTTTTATTTCCTCCGTGGGGAAAGTGGGCTCCCCACAGAAGTACACAGATCTCATTTAAATCCCTCATGCATCTTAGGATTAATGACAAACTAACAACATCAGTAATCATACTGTACATGTTAATTTGATTGGGGATAACATAACCATGTTTCATTATAATCATGACTCATTTGATTATTTAATAAATGTTCACATAGTTTTTCCTGCAAAATATACAAGTGATTGGATAAAATATGCTGATGAAGCCACATCTACCTAATTTCAGAGTATTTGAGTAGCTTATCTTTAAACTTGTTCATCAGATCCTCCTACTCACACTTAACAAAGAAAATAGCAGTACCTTCTTTCTATACAATCATTCCTCATTCAACTGGCCTCTGATCTTTGAGTCATGGAAATCATAAATATCTCCAGACATGACAGATGTCTGGGCACGATCTCCCCAGTGAAGAACCACCTCTATCAGTATGTTCAAATGGAAGGGCTTGAACTCAGGGCCTGAGCACTGTCTCTGAGCTTCTTTTTGCTCAAGGCTAGCACTCTACTTGAGCCACAGCGCCACTTCTGGCTTTTTCTGTTTATGTGGTAATGAGGAATCACACTCAGGGCTTTGTGCATGCTAGGCAAGCACACTACCACCACTAAGCCACTTTGCCAGTAGGAAGTTTTTGGGGTTTTTTTTTTTTTGGGTCCGGTAGTGGGCCTGAACTTGGGTGCTGTCCTTCAGTTCTTCAGCTAAAGGCTAGCTCTATCACCTGAGCCATAGCGCCACTTCTGGCTTTTTTCTTTTTGCTTATGTGGTGCTGAGGAATCGAACCCAGGGCCTCAGGCATGCAAGGCAAGCGCTCTACCACTGAGCCACCTTCCCAGCCCCACAGGTCTTGATTTCTAATATCATTCTGTAATAAAAGGAACCAGGACTCCAATCTAGAACTGGAACCAGTAGTGTATATGTGTGTATGCATATATCTACATATATATGTACATTTATATTTAAAATATGTACATACATATGTAAAGGGTATATGCCAAAGAAATGAGGAACAAATTGAATATGCTCCCAGTGGCTAGAGTTATAACCATTTGATTGGATAACAGTAGTGCTAGATGATATATGCTGTAACTTTTTTTTTTTTTTTTTTGGGGTCTGGTCGTGGGGCCTGAACTCTGGGCCTGGGCGCTGTCCCTCAACTCTTCAGCTCAAGGCTAGTGCTCTACCACTTGAGCCACAGCGCCACTTCCGGCTTTTTTCTTTTTGCTTATGTGGTGCTGAGGAGTCGAACCCAGGGCCTCATGCATGCAAGGCAAGTGCTCTACCACTGAGCCACCTTCCCAGCCCCATGCTGTAACTCTTATATTGATACTTCCTCCTGGGAATGGTCATGCTGACTAAACAGTTAAAATATGCTTTTCTTTGCTCATGTGTCCTGTTTTCTATAGTTGGAATGGATCCATGTCTCTTTGAGTGTCAAATGGAATTGTGGGTGTCAAATGGAATTTTCAAAAGATTACCTTATTCATGTTCTCAGTGTTGCATCAAAATGCCTGCATCAAAATAAAGAATTTCTAGGCACTTTTAAGCTTTGCTCCAGTTGGCTAACTGGTTACACTATGATTCCCCTTTATAGAACAGAGTAAGATACTGAAACATCAGGACACAAACTTGAATTGTAGTGTTTTTTTTGTAGTCAATGTCATGGCAGTTTCTAAACAGTAGTACTTGTTGAGAGAAATGATAATTTTTTAATTAGGAATTTCCTCTAGGTAGGTGTGTGTGTGTGTGTGTTTGTGTGTGTGTGTGTGTGTGTGTGTGTGTGTGTGTGTACATGGCTAGCAAAGAACTTGTCACTTCAACAGTGCTACTTCAGTGAGGTGGGTATTTTGCCACTTAAAAATATGTGCCAGGCACTAGTGACTCATACCTGTAATCCTAGCTACTCAGAATGCTGAGAGATCTGAGGATTGCTGTTTGAAGTCATCCTGGGCAGAAAATTCCCTGTGAGACTCTCATCTGCAATTAACCACTCAAAAACCAGAAGTGATACTACGGCTCAAGTGGTAGAGCATTAGTCTTTAGCACAAAGAGGCTCAGGGGCAGTGCTTAGGCTCTGAGTTCAAGTCCCACAACTGATCAAAAAAAAAAAAGTGTAGCTGAAAATATAGCTTGGTGGTAAAGCATGTGTTAAGCATGCACAAGGTCCAAGGTTTAATCCTTAGCACTACCAAAACGATCAAATGTATATGTATATTGTATGTGTATATATGTATATATTGGTGACAATCATTTTGTTTCTAGCTCACATATTATCTATATTTGTGTACATGTAGCATTTATCTGTTCCATATATGTATGAATAGTATATATATATATATATATATATATATATTTATAGAGATTTTAGAATATCTACACTTTCCCCAAATGTGAATCTTCTACATAAAAAAAGAGCCTGTCTGATTTAGCAAAACATATATTCATTTGTTTAGGAAAGTAATTATCATTTTCCTTCCATATTTTTTGTTACCCATAAAGACATCAGACCAGATATATTTAGGGAGCCATAAAGCCTGTCCTTCTGTTGTAGTTGCAACAATGAGAGTGAGTGGGCCCAAATCCACGAGAACATCATCCGAAAGTCCAGTGCCAAGTACTCTGCCCCCAGCGCCAGCCATGGTAATGTATTTCTTAAGCTAGATTTCATTTTGCATTTGTATTTGTTGATCACATAACACCTCAGTTGGTTGGTTACTGTTGACTGGCTACTGTATATAAAGCTTAATTTCCTGCATATATCTATTCTCTTCCTAGGAGCATTCTTTCTCCCAAGTATCTGGGACTACAGACATGAATACCACTCCTAGATATTTTCCAATCATGAACAGTTAATTATGGTGGTGGTTCTGTTTCAGAAGTCATAGTGCTTTCCTTCTAGTCAAGTTGTCAATTCCTTTTATAGAAATTTGAGGTCTTTCCTGACCCAAATACATTTTTTAATTCTTTTTATGAATAGATTCCATAACTTTTTTTTTTTAAGTATTGGTCCTGAGGCTTGAACTTAGAGCCTGGGCACTGCCCTTGAGCTTCTTTTGCACAAGAATAGTATTCTATTACTTGAGCCACAGCTTTACTTCAGGCTTTTTTGTAGTTTAATGAAGAGTCTCACAGACTTTCCTACTTGGGCTGGCTTTGAACTGTGATCCTTAGATCTCAGCCTCCTGAGTAGCTAGGATTACAGGCATGGCCTGTACCCAGCTGGTATTCTGTGACTTTTATGATAGATTTTATAACTTTAGTTCCAGTTTAAGTCCATAGTGAGCAAGTGTTTAGGGTTTGTCACAATGTGTTTTTTCAAACAAAAATCACACACCCAGACAAAACTAAAAATGCAAAAGACAAGTATTAATATAAATTATCTTTCTATTCTGGTTCAGCATTCATATCATCACAAGAACCTTATATTACAGCCAGTCAATGATTAGTTTGCTATTATGAGTCATTCTGGAACTAGAATACAAAATACTTATTTCAAAGCAGCTTTTCTTATTTCCTCTTTAAATCTGTTTAAATAATTTCTGTTTAAATCTGTGTCACTCTACACATTTGATATATTTTCTAAGTTAAACATTGTTTGATTACTTTAGAAACACCATTTGAAAGGCTAAGCATTTTTATTTATCCTTACAAATAGTGCTCTAATATACATAGAACCATGTTTGTCTTGATTTTTTTACAACATTTCATAACCACTTTGATATAACTTTTTTTTAAACTTTCATAGACCTTGTTGGGTATTAAAAATGAACCTTAAATAACAATACAAAGCCACTGACAGACATGGCAGCACTTACTGATGAGAGCTTTTATTTCTGTATCAGTGCCAATTATGCATGATTTGTACTTTACAATCAATTTTGTTACTGTCAGACAGTAATTTGGGACACCTTGACCCAGGTTCTTATTGGTCACACTTGTTTCTAGTCTGTAGATTTTTTTTTTCTGAGTTTCTGAATGTACAAATTTAGATAGTCTAACCCTCTTATTCAGTGTTTTCTAGGGGCAAGAGAGGCCCTGGTGCTAGCGAACAGAGAGGAAGGCAAACCTATTTCTTAAGATACCATTCTGTGGGATATTGAAATCCCTTACTTAAATTCCTTCTTCAAAATAACTTTTTTTTTTTTGGGTCCGGTCATGGGGCCTGAACTCTGGGCCTGGGCGCTGTCCCTCAGCTCTTCAGCTCAAGGCTAGCGCTCTACCACTTGAGCCACAGCGCCACTTCCGGCTTTTTTTTTCTTTTTGCTTATGTGGTGCTGAGGAATCGAACCCAGGGCCTCAGGCATGCAAGGCAAGCGCTCTACCACTGAGCCATCTTCCCAGCCCTCTTCAAAATAACTTATACTTTGAGCATCAAAAATTTTCTTGGGTTGGGTGTTGGTGGCTTACTCCTGTAATCCTAGCTACTCAGCAGTTTGAGATCTGAGGATCACCACTGAAAGCCAGCCCAGGCAGGAAAGGCCACAAAACTCTTATCTCCTATAAACCACTCAGAAAACTGGAAGTGGAGTTGTGGCTCAAGTGGTAGCGTACTAGTCTTGAGCTGAAGAGCTCAGGGACATTGCCCAGGCCCAGAGTTCAAGCCCCATGACCAACAACAACAACAAAGTTTTCGTTTTCTACCAGAAAACCCAAAGTGGCACTGTGGCTCAAGTGGTAGAGTGCTAGCCTTGAGCAAAAGAGGCTCAGGGACAGTGCCCAGACCCTGAGTTCAAGCCATAGGACTGGCAACAAACAAACAAAAAAAACTTCCTGTATGTTGGTGGCTCTTGCCTGTTATCCTAACTACATAAGAGACTGAACCCAGGAAGATGACAGTTTGAGGCCAGCAAGAACATACACATGAAATCCCTTCTTAATAGCTGTGCACAGTGGCATGTATCTGTGTCATTCAGCTGTATGAGAAGTTGAATTCAAGAGGATCATAGTTGCAGGCCAACTTAGGCGAAAAAGTTAACAAAATTCTATCTCAGTAGAAGAAAGCTGGTTTTGGTTATATATCTCAGCTTTGATGAGAAACTTATAATAGGCTGATTGTGGTCCAGGCACAGACCTGGACAAAAAGTGAGAATAACTAAAGGACTGGAAAGGTGTCTCAGTGGTAAATTGCTTGCCTAGGAAATCCAGGGCGTTCAAACCTCAGTATCACCAAAAGTTCCCTGCCCCCCCTCAGGAAAAATAGTGGCAAAGAAGAAAGAAAGAAGGGGCGAATGCAGTCATAATACTCAATGCATATTCTGTTAAGCTAGGAAAATTGAGGGGAAGGGTTGGGTTAGGAGGGAAGGGGGAGAACAGTGAAAAGAGGTGCATTGTACTTATAAACTGATTTGTTGAATGGTAATTCCTTTGTACAACTATTCAAAATTAATAAGAGTATAATTTAAAAGAAAGGAAAAGAATAAGAGTGGGCTATAGATCAATGGCAGAGCACTTCTCTAGCATGTTTATGGCACTGAAAAAAGAAAAAAAATACAAAACTTTTCTATCTTTTCTAGTTTTATATAACAATGATTCTGAATAGGAAATATTTTTTTTTGTAGGTCTTATTATTTCTTTGCAACTTCTTCGCGGAGACATGGAACAGATTCGGAGAGAAAATCCCATGATATTTAATAGGGGATTGGCCTTTACAAGAAAATTGGGATTTCCTGATGTCATCATGCCAGGTATGCAGAACTTCTTGGGGATAGGAAGGAGATGGGCTAGAGTCCATTGCTCCACTCCTGAGCAGGTGGTAAGTTATGGTATAGAAGAGTCTGCAGCCATTGAATATGCCTCCACATCTGTGCATCCAATGTCTGTTTACTCTCTTGTAAGCCTCTTTCCAGAAGCCCCACATCATGCTGTCAATGCAACCTGATACTCCAGTAGATTGGCTTTGTAAAAGCTATATTTTAGGAACCCAAACACAATTCTTCACAGAGCTGCCTTTTGTGCCCTTTTTTCCTGTCAAATTCCTTAGAAAAGGATTGCCTCACAAGAACTTCCTGCTTACTAGAAAGAATGTTACCAAAAAAAGTGCTGCAATTTCAGTGAGTCCTATTTGTATATAAATCATCTATCTATTTTAATGTATCAGAAAAATGACTTAGGCAAATGGTAAATAGGCACTGTAAATAATAATACCTGACCAGTTTGTCTGTCATTGTCTCACCCTGCTACCTTATACCTAATCAAGATCAGGGATAAAAGTAGGAATGCACTGATTTTCTGTCATGGTTCCAGTGGGCCAGTGCCACACTTATATTTCCTAGGCAGGTAGACAGAGATAGTTCTAGAGAAGTGGATAAAAATGGGCCATCAGAGCCAGTAGGGCTGTTGGAAGTAAAGGAGAAATAGAGGCATGGTTCAGGTGGATGGCTGGGGATCTGATAACCAAAAAGATGAGAACACAGAAAGGGAGATCAGACTCGAAAAATACCTGGTTGTCTAGATAGATTTCCAGAAGTCAACTTACTATTTCATTGGAGGTTTCTTACTCTGTTAAAAAAGTTTATTTGCTACCCAAGTGACTCATGCCTCTAATCCTAGCTAAGTCAGGAGGCTGAAATCTGAAGATCAAGGTTCAAAGCCAGCCAGGCAGTAAAGTCTTGTGACTCTTAGCTCCAGTTAACCAGCAAAATGCTGAGAATGGAAGGAAGTGTGGCTCAAACTGGTAGAGTGTTATCCTTGAGCAAAATACCTCAGGGACAGCGCCCATTCCCTGAATTTAAGCCTCAGGACTGGCACATACACAAAAGGAAGCTTATTTGCCAAGGTAGACTTAGTGATTATGATGATTTTAGGTATCACTTATTAAGTAGTACTTCACTAAATTCTCTTGTTGGAAACATTTCCAGTACATCCCCCGAAGAGGAACATGGCTTGAGTATAGAGAGCCCCATGCCGTGTGTTCCAGATGCCTTCCAGCTACTCTGAATGTGTCCAGATTTATTTCCATCACTCTCATTTTCTCTCCATGGACACTGAATGCAGAGCAAGCTGCTGCACACTGCTTTCATTTCCTACTCATAAACACAGGAGAGTCTTTTAAGTGGGAAATTTAGGCCACTAGATCAATTATGTTTATTTCTAAATGCCAAGAAGACTTCATGCTTATGAAAGAGCCCATCTGGCTGTTGTAGAGGTGATTGCTCCATTTCTTTCATGCTTCAGTTCTCTTTGGACCTGGTAATCAAAGAGAAGAGCCAAAGCAGTCCCTGCCTTCTTGTCAATATTGCTTTGATAAAAAGAATAGTTAACAAAATTGATGTAGTTACTTTTTCTGACTTAGATATACACACTGACAGAGTAAAGTGATATATTCTAAGACACAGCCAGGCACCAGTGGCTCATGAGTATAATCCTCAGTACTCAGGAGTGTAAGACCTGGAGGATTGCAGTTTGAAACTAGCTGGGGAAGAAAAGTCTACAATATTCTATCTCCAGTTAACCAGCAAAATTCTGGACTAGAGACATGGCTCACATGGTAGAGTACCAGCCATAAGCTAGAAAAGCTGAGAGAGAGCACAAGTACTCTGCTACACCAAATATAAATATATATGTATATATAGGGGCAACATACGTGTGTATGCGCGCACGTGTGCGTGCGCGCACACACACTCACTCTCACTCTTAGACATACTTTAAGTCCCTCTCTCCTTTTTTTTTTTTTTGGTTGGTCTTGTGACTTGAACTCTGGGCCTGGGCTCTGTCCCTCAGCTCTTCAGCTCAAGGTGAGTGCTCTACCATTGAACCACAGTGCCACTTTTGGTTTTCTGAGTGGTTTATTGGAGATAAGAGTCTCACAGACTTTCCTGCCAGGGCTGGCTTTTAACCATCATCCTCAGATCTCAACCTTCTGAATAGCTAGGATTACAGGTGTGAGCCAGCTGCGCCTGGCCCTTCTCTCTTTTTGAGAATTTCTAAGCTGGGTGCCGGTGGCTCACGCCTGTAATCCTACCTACTCAGGAGGCTGAGATCTGAGGATTGCAGTTCAAAGCCAGCATGGGCAGGAAAGTCCGTGAGACTCTTATTTCCAATAAACCACTAGAAAACCAGAAGTGGCGCTGTGGCTCAAGCAGTAGAGTGCTCGCCTTGAGCTGAAGAGCTGAGGGAAAGTGCCCAAGCCCAGAGCTCAAGCCCCACAACCGACCAAAAAAAAAAAAAAAAAAAGAATTTCTAGCTCACCAGGTTAAAACCAATTAAAAATGAAAAACATTTTGTTCAAAAATGTATTCAGGGGCTGGGATGGTGGCTCAGTGGTAGAGTGCTTGCCTTGCATGCATAAGGCCCTGAGTTCAAATCCTCAGCACCACATAAGCAAAAGAAGCCGGAAGTGGCATTGTGGCTCAAGTGGTAGAGTGCAAGCCTTGAGCTGAAGAGCTGAGGGACAGCACCCAGGCCCAGAGTTCAGGCCCCATGACCGACCAAAAAAAAAAAAGTATTCAGTCTAATAGCCAATGTATAAGCTAAAAAATTAATAAATAATCCCTGATTTTAAAAATTAGTTAACAATATATGTAAATATATTTGATTCTAAGTTTCATAGAAAAAGATTTATGGAAAGAGATCTTTCATGGAATATTCTATATCTTTTTGTATCTTTGGCATCAGACTTACAAAAATTTCTGTCTATGCTGAATATAACTGTAAATACAAATACCAAGCACTGGTGAGCCAAGCTATAGGTAAAGGAATTTCTCCTCTTGTGGGTAGCTAAAAGACCATATGGCCAGGCACTGATTGCTCATACCTGAAATCCTAGGTACTTAGAATGCTGAGATCTGAGGATCATGTTTGAAGCCAACCTGGGCAAGAAAGTCCATGAGACTCTTATCTCCAGATAACCACCAGAAAACCAGAAGCAGAGTTGAGGCTCAAAGTGGTAGAGCAGAAAAGCTCAGGGACAGTGCCCAGGCCCAGAGTTCAAGCCCATGACTGACAAAAAAAAAAAATCACTATATCACTATGTGCTTTATCCTACAAGTAAGATGAGAGCACTTCTGGGAAGTCTCAAACAGGGCATTAAATGGGCTACTTTCTGCATTTGCCTTTTAATTACTTAGTATTTACTGTAGCTGAAAGTTAGCAGTCATTTTTACATACTTTGTTTCCTTCTCTAACCTTTTTCCCTCCTTAGGGAAGAGCTTTTTGCACAGATGGCCACTCTTGTGCCTATGGGCTGTTAACAACTGCTAACTCTCATGATGTGGCCCAATATGCTGTTAGAACTGGTTTGTCATCTTTGGGCAAGGTGATGGGGCTTCACTTGCTGGTCCTGTTAGAGCAACAGGAATATGTATTTTTCATTGTGATAACCTTAATTTAGGAAGCAATGACCATAGCAAGTGAATTCCAAACTCTGGTCACCACCTGCTCCTGCAGAAGATTGTAGCTAGGCTGTGACAGTCCCTCAGCTTCACAGTACTGGTTTGGCCACGTTACAAAAACATACAACTTCATCTTCTTGATACACGGACACATGGAGAACAAGAAAAGAAATCATGTCAGTAACTGTGAGCACTTCAGCACTTAAATCTAAGAAATTATAGTAAATGAAAAATTAGAATTACTTATAAACTGTGATCTTTATTCCAAAACTACCCGGCATTTGGCAGAAGTTCCCAAAAACTCATATGGAGAGGTCTTTTTTTGTCAGACTGGCCCAGATCTGTCCTTATCAAAATATATTGAACTATATAGCCACACTTGTATCTAGCACAGCAATTTTACAAAGATCTTTCTGGCATTCTGTTGCTTTCCATTGGAATGTATATACATACCAGGTAGATGGTGTGAGGAGATGGTATTTTCCCCTACCCCATAACTGAATTCTTGACAGTAGAGCCATCCAACTCTGCTTATGGCTCATAAGGGAAGAGGCATCACATGATTCTGGGAGCCATCACCTTCATCAAAGAAAGGCATGCTAACCCAGAAAATTACCATCTTACATTATAAAAGAAAAAAAGAAATAGTGAAATTTAACCTTTTGTTGGTTGATCACTGTATTTTCTGGGTACTTCCTTTTTCCATCCAGACTCATTTTAGTCCAGTACAAGGTTAGTAACTTTATAGAACACTTTCAGTTCCTTCCTAGATTTTTTTAAAAAGATGATGATTGGAGAAACGAGAATAGTAACATTGTTGCCTGTGACTCACCTGTCAGAGTTAGCCATAATAATATTTTAAAGATGGTCCTGGCCATCTCCAACTTCTGCAGCTGAGTCACCCTTCATGTTTGAAAATATTGTACCTGGACTGCAGTATAGCCAAAAGACTTATAAATAACCTAAAAAGAATGATCTGAAACCTCTTGTTCAAGAAGGAACTGTACTGTTTTCTAGACCATGTCTTAAGTCAGCAGAGATGTGCCTATAGTATCGGTATCTTTCTGTTATTTCTTATCTTGGAAATTCTGTGCCATGGCAGTGGAATTTCAGAGCTTTATTATGGCTCTTGGGAAATAAACATTTAACCTGTTTTCTAAGTCTTAAATTTCTAAGGTTGTTATTGACTGTTATGATTTGGTCAAGTTTCTTTTTTTTTTTTTGGTCGGTCGTGGGGCTTGAACTCTGGGCCTGGGCGCTGTCCCTCAGCTCTTCAGCTCAAGGCGAGCGCTCTACCACTTGAGCTACAGCGCCACTTCCGGTTTTCTGGTGGTTTATTGGAGATAGGAGTCTCA